AAATATATATATATATATATATATATATATATAATTTTTCCAGCTTTTTTTAAGATCGATTGCTCGAGACAAATCTATTGAATTTAAAATCACTATACTTATGTTTGAGAAAAAAATTTAGAACGGATCCACCCTGATGAATTGAGGTGCAAGGGGGGGGGGAACAAAAGTTTGTCCATCGGAAACTGATGGTTTCAAAAAGGTAGAAATCGATTTCAACAGATTTACCCTATTTTCTCTGATATAATTATAAACCCCTAAGCACCTAACTAATTAAATCTATCAAACATTTCTAAGTACTTATTAATGGTGTCCAATTAAAATCAACTGCCTGCACCGTTTAAGGCCAATGTAATTTGGCTGATTTTGCCCATTCCTCCACCTTGCGAATCGCCTTCGTTGGGTCCAGTATATGCCGCTACGAGGGCTGTTATCTTCTTGACGGTTTCTTCAAATACAATGTTGAATTGAAGATCCAGTGTGTTTTTAATTGCCCAAAAGAGATTATCGAAAGTGTACATCACCATGTAACCTTGAATTCGTCCATTCGTCTGTACTGGTGGCAGCCAATTCAAGATTACTTCATTTGGACTTATCTTGTGCATTTCGACTTTTTGGAGCTTGCTCGGTCCTAACAAACATACGATTACAAAGTCTTATAACTTACTATCAGATGGCGATCGGAATCGATATTCTCTGGAGATCTCACCTTTTCTTTTTGATGGATCTTTCTCGGACACTGTAAGACGGTAATGTGTTGAAGGCTTCAAGGAAAGAACTTTTTTCTTTCGTCCAGTTGGAGTAATTTGTCTGGGTGGGCGTGTTGGATCATCGAGATTTCTCAAGGTAATTAGCGGTCGGTTGAGTTTCTCTATTAGCTTTAAATCGGAACCCAGATACAAGATCAGCTTCCTGCTTCGCACTTCAATTTTGCTTATAGAAGGAATATCTACCGCTGCAAATATAAAAAGCAGTTTACAAACACTTACATGATTGTTAAAGGCAATGATTTATAAAAGTAATGAAATAATTCATACATAATGTCATTGTGATCTACCACACAAACATTTATTACTCACTAGAATGGATTGAGGCCAATCGACGTTGCAAAATACTTGACAAGAGTGTCTAATAATCGATTCTAGTGAAGAATTAATCTTACAAGATTTTGTTTAAATTTACAGATATTTAATAAGAAACTTAATATTATTTTTTATTAATATATTATAATATACTATAAAAAAGCTAACTTGCTATATTTATTAAATTTGATATGCGAATAATTTTTGCCACATGTTTTATATACTACATTAAATTATTTTATAAAACACTGCTCTCTTTCAGTCAAGATCTGTATAGTAATTGCAATCATTATTATAATCATAACTAGCATTCCTAAGGTCTATTGTCAGTTCTAATCATTGTGCCCACAACATACGTATTGACAAAAATCATTAAATAGGAATTACTCACGGAATATTTCTGTTGCGGTAAGATATGCCGAAAATGTAAGAATGAAGATAAATTGCACCATTTCTGCCAAGTTAAAATAGTACTTTAATTCACAATTCCCTGTTTTTACGGATATAAAGTTGAAGTGCCGAGGCATTGAAAAAAATGTTAACTTTGATTGGATGTTTGCCTTTCCTTGCCTTCTCTCGTCTTCTTAACTGATTACCAAGTGGAGCGTAAGAATTGGATTAATTTAATCCTTTCGCTGTGAACAAGCTAACGAATGCCAAACGCCTGCCTTCTCATTAACTAAGACTGTTGAGTGGAGTTACTTTTGACACGTTCTCACTGCCTTCTAATTATTGCTATAAATCATTAAATGTGCATGTTCAAATAGCATTGGGTATACATCGTTGAGGTAATTGCGCTTAAAGATATGATTCCTTGAATTTGGAGTCCAAATTGTCCTTCATTAGATGCACGCCACGATGTTGATGGTCTATTGTAGAGGGGTCGCCTGACATTCGAGGTTTAGCCGTACTAACAAAGTACACTGAAGGGCAAGAAATGGTCGGTGATAAAGAGACGATTCGAAGCGAAAGCCCATCCATTCGCACTCGAAATTGCACAACCAATCGAACAGAAAATAAATAGCATTAGTAAAACTTGTACCACCTGCCAAGCACTCCCAAATATTTTTTTCTAAAAACAGATGCCTAACGCACTTTCTCATATAGTGCAGTTGTTGTTAACAACATTGCTCTTAGCATCACATAGAAAAACCTAATGTAAGCAATAGATTCGGTTACATTGAAAGCTAAGTGTACGCACCAAGTCAGTTTAACATGCAAACCTGTTCGCGCTCATTATGCTAATCACATCGTGTCTCACATTGTCGATTGGTGGTTCATATTGGATACATTTCAGTAAAACAAGGGCAAAAATCAGCTAACTCTAATCAGCGTGTCATCACTTGGCTTCCTTATCGCTTATTTTGGGGATTTCAAGTAGGTGTTTGCTCCCTGGTTCATTAAACCTTTAATCAACTCTTGCCCTCTTAATCGCTCTCACCACGTCAATATGCTTTTCATTTCCAATCAACTTCTGGTCTTATGATTTGAAGGGGGATGTGGGTTGTCTTTCGAAGATGCCTAGAAAGTCCACAAATGCTGTTGAACTATCTCTTTAAACCAAGAAATAGTTTTTAAATTAAATCTCCCGACTTGACACAATACTACTTTTGCCCCTTTAACGTTTTGTTTTAATATTCTAGCTGTGGGGTATGCGACAGACTTACCTCCACGTGGTGCACCCTGGGCAACGTATACTCTTACGACAAAAATGTCTATTAACCGGCAGTTGACTTCTCACTTCAAACTACCATCACCCCACTGTATGTCATATTCGACTGCTTCCACAGTACTCACCTCTCTTTTTCACTGCCTTTGTGTCTGTCTGTCTATTTTTTTTACATCTGCGAATAACTCTTCTGTCCCCCATCCCCTCTCGATTTTTCTTCACGTTGATGTTCCTCCTCCTCTCAGTGAAGCCCGAAGTCAACCAATGAGCTAATGATGACGACCAAAACGCCTACCATTTGAAATAAATAGATAAATAAATATTCTAGCTGCTTACTGCGCTATGAATATTTCTAAGAATTAACTCTAAAATAAATTGTTAGCTAAATATAGCCATAACCATGTGTATTTATATATCCATCGATGCATGCTCATTGGATGAAATGCTCAATTATATTGGGTGAGATAGGCCGATATGGAGGTTAACAGATAGTAAATCCCTCACTAAAGAGGCACCCAAGACGATTGATGTAAAATGTTTTCTAAGATGAGCTTGGAAAATCAATTGTTACAGGATTCAAAGTCCATGCCTGGGAAAAATTACTACATGTGTGAAAACCCCTCTTTAATCATCGACACAAGTCAAAAGATTGATCGCATCTAGCCATCTCAACTACGTTATTTAACTTCCATCTAACAATGAAAAATATGCGAAACTAAAACAGCAAGACTGCGTTGATTCAAAATTGAAAATGTGGAAAAAATGACGTCTTCTGCATCATTCTAAAAAATTTTATTCTGCCACCGAAGGATTGTTTAATTTAAATTGAATTAAACAAATTATTAGTTCATGTGCTCAAGTGGGCTTAGAGTGTTCACATTACAAATAGCTTCCGGTTTAATTCTCACGCTTCCATTTGCATTGTCTGGAGAGTGTGCAAACACAGCATTCCCTTCTAACTGGTTCTTGCTAAACCATGAAGGAACGAAATTAAACAGCGAGTAAAACTTAAAACGTTAATTCACAACGCATATATATATATATATATATATATATATATACATATATATATGGGGTATGCGATAGACTTACCTCCACGAGGTGCACCCTTGGCAACGTATACTCATACGGTAAAAAGTCTATTAACTTGTAGTTGACTTCTGACTTCAAACTACCATCACCCCACTGTATGTCATATTCGACTACTTCCACAGTACTCATCCTACCTTTTCTCTGCCTTTGTGCCTGTCTCTTTTACATCTGTGAATCGCTCTTCTGTTCCCCACCCCTCGACTTCCTGTTACTTTGATGTTCCTTCCCCATGTGAAGCCCGAAGTCAGCTAAAGGGCTAATGATAAATATCAAAAAGCCCGTCATTTGATATATATATATATTTATTTATTTATTTCAAATGGCAGGCATTTTGATAGATATCATTAGCCATTTAGCTGACTTCGGGATTCACAGAAGGAAGGTTCATCAAAGTAGAAGAAAGTCGAGGGGTGGGGTACAGAAGAACGATTCACAGATGTAAAAGAGGCAGACAGACACAAAGGTAGAGAAAAAGGTAAGGTGAGTCCTGTGGAAGGGGTCGAATATGACGACCAGGGGGGTCGTGGTAGTTTGAAGTCAGAATTCAACTGCCGGTTTGTAGACTTTTTTGCCGTATGAGTATACGTTGCCCAGGGTGCACCACGTGGAGGTAAGTCTATCGCACACCACATATATATATATATATATATATATATATCTGTCAAATATGACCTGGCAAAACTTGATAGTGTGTTAGCCAAAGGCGATATGCGCAACGGCCGCCATACATTTCTGACATATTAAAGGTCAGTAGTTCGGTTAACCCGGGGTTTGCGATAGACTCACCTCCACGTGATGTACCCTGGCCAATGTATACTCATACGGCAAAAAGTCTATTAAATGGCAGTGACTTCTGACTTCAAGCTAACATCACCTCACTGTATGTCATTTTCAGCCACTTACACCTACTCATCTTACCTTTTCTCTACCCTTGTGTCTGTCTGTTCCTTTTTCATCTTTGAAGCACTCTTCTGTTTCCAACCCCTCTCGACTTTTTTCGTTTTGATGTTCTCGCACATCTGTGAAGTCCGAAGTCAACTAAAGGGCTAATGATAACTATCAAAACACCTGCCATTTGGTATAAATAAGTTCGGTTAACACTCATAGTCAGGATGGCAGATCTCACTAGTTAAATCTCATTCATTTAGAATTTTAAAAGGTTGGGTATCTCAAGTTGAGAAATGTAAAACGGTTTTCGAATAAAGAGCGATAATGATCAGAAGTCCATAACAAATAACTGGGCAATCAGTCTTGACTGTCTTCTCAGCCAAACTTCCCTTCTCACTGTCTACTTTCTAAGCGCTCAAGAGCATCACTTACAGATGATAAAGACATTTTATTTCCAGGCAAATGTTCTCTCTTAGCTGCAAATATTTTCAATCCTTTTATAGCGACTGTGATATCTCAAATACATCCATTTCTTTATTCCATTACTTTTGAGCTCGACTTCTCTTATCCCGTTCTTTATTGACTGACCCAGTATTTCGAATGCTCAGATTGGATTTATTTATTTCAAATGGCAGGCGTTTTGATAGCTATCATTAACCATTTAGCTGACTTCGGGCTTCGCAGAGGGAAGGTTCATCAAACTAGAAGAAAGTCGAGGCGCGGGGAACAGAAGAGCGATTCACAGATGTAAAAGAGGCAGACAAACATAAAGGTAGGGAAAAAGGTAAGATGAGTACTGTGAAAGGGGTCGAATATGACAAGCAGTTGGGCCATGGTATTTTGAAGTCAGAAGTCAAATGCCGGTTAATAGACTTTTTGCCGTATGAGTATACGTTGCCCAGGGTGCACCACGTGGAGGTAAGTCTATCGCACACCCCATGCTCAGATTGGATTGAATTATGGAAAAATTAATTACGTTAAGTTCTCAAAATAATCAAAGTTACTGTGTTAACTCTATATAATGCCTATATTTTCTTTACTAACAATAACTTCGTTATTTACTACTTAATTAAAAAATTAATTTTTCTCCACTCACAATACTTTGCGGCCACGTAATGAAGTAGGATTTTTGAAGGTTACTGATTTTCAACTTTTAATGCTATCATTTGTATTTTTGAAACATTACCGTTTCACGGAAACAAACATTTCAAGCCAAGAAATTTTCATTTTCAAAAGCCGATTTGGTTCAAATCGATCATTAATTTAGAAACACAGCCTGCATTTGGAAAGAAAAAGATTTACTAGTTAATAGTAAATGTCAAAACAAAACCGTTAATTAACTTAAGGACGTGCTGAATCGTCCAAATCCGGAGGAGTATGGTCATAATATGGAGTTCCATCTTCTACATTTCTCTTACCTATCATAGATGGAGGGTTCAAAGCCTACCTTGAGAACGCTCCGACTCACAGCACGCTGTGTAATAATCATTGAAACTACAAGGAATAGATACACTAGAAAGAGAACGCTCACAGTTTATCTCCCTTATAAAAAAATTTTGCAGTTATTCAGAGGCTAACAGGGAAGGGGTTCTGGTTGAATGGCATCAGGAAACATATGGCCCTTGAAATGGGCATGGAACCTACAGTTAGATAAATTGTTTTGATAATCCGTCATTTCAACTGTGGCATTTATTTAATTTCAGAAACGTGTCTTTTGTGAATAAAGTATATCCGTAATTTAGCACATTGAATAATCTTATTAAGTCAGTTTACCGTGTCAACTAAGAGTATTTTGTTAATTGGATAGGCCGTTCTTTACTCAACCGATTTTGCCCATAATTAAAAGGGAAGACTTTTAATTAAATGAGAAAATAATATTCAACTTTTAGTACTCAGGAATGTATTCATTTATTTATATCAAATGGCAGGCGTTTTGATGGTTATCATTAGCCCTTTATTTGACTTCAGGTTTCACAGAAGGGAAAGAACATCAAAGTGAAAAAAGCCGGGAGGAGGGGAACTGAAGAGTGTTTCAAAGACGGAGGTTGAAAATGTAGAAAAAAAAATGTGATGTAGTACTGTGGAAGTGGTCGAATATTTCATACCGGGGGGGCCTTGGTAGTTTGAAGTCAACTGTCGGTAAATAGACATTTTTGCCGTATGAGTATACGTTGCCCAGGGTGCACCACGTGGAGGTAAGTCTATCGCACACCCCGTACTCAGGAATGTAAAGTGAATTCAATCAGCCTCAAATGAAATGAAATAGTTGTTAGTGAAGGTCTACTCTTGTTCGTTTAAACTGACAAGATATTAACGAATCTGATAAAATATGTAATCGGCTCACATTTTAACATATATATATACGCTCGATCATAGAGATACTTAGGGACAATCGATTCCTCTCTCTCCTCACCTGGAAGAACTTGTGCTACTGAGTATGTTGAATGATCGTAGAATGGCATTCCACGACGTTTTGAGTCAATCGTTCTAATCTTTGAAAAGATTTCAACTTAATCTTGCTAAACGGAGGCTTTCATTTTCATTTATTAATGCAACCTTCCCTAATATTTTTGCAAAAAAACATGTCTCGCATAGGTTTTAACGCTACTTTATACCTGATTTGATATATAGCTTGAAAGCGTCGAATTTGTAACTTATAATTGGCGCAAGTAAACCTTTCACTAACTCATTTGTAATCGTCTTAGCAATCAAGATTAGGTTACTGAGACTAACCAATTAGATTTTACCTTTAATTTTTAAATCCCTAAACTTCAAACTAATTATTTATTCATATTCACATTGTTCTGATGGATGAATGTCACAATGGTATATGCGAATAATTGATGGGGGTAAAGAATGTTCCACAAATGCTACAAAAGCAATGTGCAAATCTGATTAATAGAAAGTGTATCGGGGTTTCCGAAAATCCACCCAGAGCAGTTAAACGGAAAATTCCATTTCATGGAACTATGCTAGAACCGCTCACCCGAATAAGCACCCGTGAGCTATAATACAGCACGCGTATTGCGCATTCGAAATTTCCCATCCAGTATGGGGAGTGCTAATCTTCAGTCCCAAATAGAGAAAAGCTGTAAAACGGAATTTTAAGTTTAGACACCTAATAACTGGAACTTTCGGAAAACATCAGTAGTACCAGTGACTTTTGCATACTGGTTTTTGGGAGAAAATTTCGTCCTTATATACCAACAAGCGGTTCAGAAATCCTAAAGAAGAGATTGACGTCTTGTCGTGATCAGTTTTCTTTTCTAGCTGTGTATATGCACTTTTGTCAGAAAGAATATATGGAATTTTAAAAGTGCAATCAAAACACAAACATCTACTTCTGAGGTCAAGCATCTACTGTGGATGAATTCCAATGCCTCAGCAATCCAAGTGGTGAACAAGGGCTCTAAACAATTCTCAATTAAAAAAAGAGAGTAAATAGCTTGAGGTATATAAAACTTTTGATTTCAAAATGAATTTCCTCACTTGTCACTCTGTCTCGACAGCTTGGTAAAGAGCCCGTTTTAAATCCTTTCAATAATTTATTTATTTCAAATGGCAGGCATTTTGATAGTTATCATTAGTCCTTTAGCTGACTTCTGCTTTCATAGACATGAGGAGAAACAGCAAAGTGACAAAAAGACTAGAGGGAAACAGAATAATGATTCACAGATTTAAAGGAAGCAGACAGATACAAAGGCAGAGAGTAATTAAGATAAGTACTGTGGAAGAGGTCGAATATGACAAATAGTCGGGTCATAGTAGTTTGAAGTCAGAAGTCAACTGCCGATCAAAGACTTTTGCCGTGTGAGTACACGTTGCCCTGGGTGCACCACGTGGAGGTAAGTCTATCGCACACCCTATCCTTACAATAATTAAATGTGGGTTCAAAATCTGGATAGTGAGAGAGAGCTAAAAAAGGAAAACAGTTTTAAAACCTTTAATTTTTGAGCTTGAGTTGAGTAGTTCTCGTACCAAATTCAAATTTCGCCATTCATCTTGTGGAAGGTTACTAACACGGGTCTGAGAAGATTAGGGCATATTGCTCGATGAAATTCAATCCG